GATAAAGTTTCCCAATGTAGTACCCAAGGCTACCCCACCTCCCCATAGGTAAATGTTCAGTCACACAGGGTTGCCCAAAGTGGGGCTACTGAGGCTAAGAAGTCTGCCACAAGTCTAAGGAATCTTCTGGCAGGAAACCACAGGAAAGGGGCAATAGGGTCCAAGAGGTCTGGGACAAAAGATATAAAATTAAAGTGCAAATTAAGATAAAGGCTGCCATTGTCATTCTCCCCATATATCCCTCACCTACGTGTTTCTTCCAAGTGTTTCTAACCTGTTTCAACTCCTTTTGAATCCCCCAAGCCCCTGGTTTAAGCCTAACACCGAGATGCCAACACCAGCACAGCCCTTTCTCTCTGCTCCACCTGTCTCCTCTCCTATGTGACCTCCAAGTCTTCAACAGCCCTACCTGACTGCTTTGCTCTGCCCCTCAGTAGGTGGGGGAGGGAACATGGCTCCTCCCCTTCTGTAGAGATGCCTATGTTATGAGCACACAATTATAAGACATTGGAGTCACTGTGTGTTGGGCCACAAGAGAAATGTAATTTAAATGCCGTTGAAATTAAAATTAATCCTTGCCATGTCTTCGAAATAAAGATAGAATATTGAGCAGAGACATAAGAAGAGGACATTCCCAATCAGGCAGTCATGATTTGGAGGGACATTTGTACTACAGCCATTTCAGAACCTCTCCTTTCAATTAATCAAGAAGAAGGAGCATGGCACTCTTTGGTAACAAGGATGCACATACTACCTATGACAGAAATGTGTCCTTTTAGACAAAACTTGTTTATACATATTTTAATATCTACTTATATATGAGGTACTTTTATTTTCTCCATAAGTTCTAAAAAACAGACAAACAAACAAACAAAAATCAGTTGCATATGTACACAGCCTGGTAGTGGGAGTTAGAGATGAGAACAGAGATTTGCTAGTGAGACCCTGCCTGTATTATGTACTTCATCAATGACTCTACCTGAAAGCCTCTTGAAATTCTCCAATTCCGTTGGTGAGAATTTGAGAAATATGGAAAGAAGGCTATGGATTGAGGTGAATATGCCTAATTTGTGGGCCTTCAATGATATTCTTCGACTCCTGTCACTTAAGTCAAGTATGTCTAATGAAGGAAAATTGAAGCAAGAACTTTCCAAAATATTTTGTTTTAAGCACAAGCAGGATTAAACTACTGAATAGCTCAGTTTGAAGGATGTGGTAAAGGAAGAGGAAAGGGAAATGGAGACAAGACTAGATAAAGAAAGCTTTGAATATCACATTACAGAATTTAAATGTTCTTGAGTAGGCAAGAAAAAAATCTTGGATCATGAAGTGTTTCGTTTTTGGTTTTTTGACATAACCAATATTCCTAGTCAGAGGGAGCACATTGAAACAGGATAGCATATTTCCCAATTGTAGAAATAAATCTTATGCGTACAGGTAGTCCAAAGGTCCAAGGTTATTTGTCTTATTTTTAGCCTCTTTTGAGACTATTATATGTTCAGTCTATGGTTTCCCCAAACTATTATTATGACAGAATTATTAGGGGAATTAATCCTAAAATTAATCACAAGAAAGTCAACAAAAATACAGTCTAGTCAACATTTGAGGAATCCAAACATTTACATATTTCAGCCATCCTTCCAAGTAGAATTCATTTCCTATCCCAATTTCACAAGGGAAATATTCCCTCCCGATGTTTCCCTCGATAGGTAAGGTCAAAGAATTAATTGTTCTTCTTCTTTCTTAAAGCATGTTTAACAGGGGCTTTGATATCCCTCTGCAGTCCAGTTATCTTCCTAGTCAGGTTTTAATAATACCATGACCCATAACCTTTTGTCTTAAAATTGGTTTCTGCAGGAAATCAAAGGTGGGGATTGTCTATATTAAATATTGATTTATTTTTAAAACCTCTCTTTCTTTTGCCCTTTCTTCCTTCTCTCCACAAAAGTTAAAAGGATATACTAGTGAATGGGCTAATAACCTTTAAAATGTCCATTTTTAAATGTTCTCTTTAATTTAGATTCACACATTTTTTCTCTTCTGGATTAGAATAGCATGTTTTTAGTACCATTTCACCTCAAACAATTCTTTGTTGCACAAAAAACAATCACTCATTTTCAGTCCATTAAAACTATCGTTACGTGTCTACAAAAATATTTTACTAAGACTCTATCACTTTTTACTTTGATTTTGAGATGAACTATAAAGCAGAATCCAATATAAAACAAAATGCAATTTGAAAAAATAAATTTGAAAAGTAGTTTAGCTTTATTATCTTATTTCAAAATATTCAGAAACATTTTTCCGCAAACATGTGAGGACATGTTTTCATTACATTATGCCCCATAACAATCCAACAATGTCCACCTATTACTGAATGCTCTCCTGTGCCAGGTACTTGATAGAAGGGATCCTCAAAATCCCTGTGAGGTAAATGTGACCAATATGAACCAGTCCTCCCTCATCCCCCCAAAATTAATTGTTGATGCCTTAATCCCCATTATGGCTGTATTTGAAAATAGGACATTTTGGAAGTTATTAAGGTTAAATGAGAATATATAGATAGGTCAGTCCTAGTTCAATAAGATTGGTGACCTTATGGGACGAACAAGGAAATGTCCGCTGGTGACATGGTCAGAAGGCAGCCCTCTTCAAACCAGAAATAAAGTTCTTGTCAGACATCTACCATTGTTGTGCCGTCGTCTTAAGAGTTCAGTCTGTAGAACTTTGAGAAAATATATTTCTGTTGTTTAAACCATCCAGTCTGCGGTATTTTGTTATTACAGACTAAAATAGATCTTAGTGTTGAGAAATGAAATACTGTTAAAACATATACCTGCGGCAGCAACTTTGGAAGTGGATGATGGCTAGAGGTGGGAAGTGTATTGGGGCACATGCTAGAAATGTGGATGTTAAGAGTGATTTTGGTACGGTATCAGGTGGAAGAGAGGAACATGCTTTTGCAACTGGAACTCCCTTGCTATAAGTGGCAAAGAAAGTGCCACTTCCTGTTCTAATGATACGGAAGGTAGAACTTGCAAGTAATGATATTGGATGTTTAGCTGAGAAATTTTCAAAGAGGTGAGGGGATTTGTTTTCTCCTAACAGCATATAGTAAAGTTCAAAAAGAGAGAGGTGAGCTGAAGAAGACATTGCCAAAAAGAATTGGAAGATTTGGATAATTCTCAGTCAATCTACGTTGCAGATCATGCTCTTGGAACACCAAGCCTGTGGCTGCACTATTGCTCGGTAAAGAACTGAATGGGACTATACAATCAAAAATACGTCATTGAACAGATGAAGATGGAAATGAAAAAATAAAAGTTGTTTAGGACATCTTGTATGGGGTATCTGGGAAGGTGCACTATGCTTCCAAAAGAGGGGAAAATATCCCTGAGGGTGATTCAGTATTGAGGTGACTGCCTTGTTTTCAACAGGCAGGTATAACTTGCACTACCACAGAGGCAGTGTTTGTCTGAATCCCAGCCTGACAGAGCCTCAGGGATGAGACACCACCACCTCGCCCCCCCCCCAGCCTCAGGGGTGACATTATCTCCCCAGTGGGGTGGAGGACAGAGTCTCAAAGCTAAGAGAAACATTCCCAAACTTTAATATCAAGTAGAATTCTGTACACTAAACTGTGTTTGTCCCATATTGATATGTTTAAGTATTAAATTGCCAATGGGACTGTTGGGTGGTAGAAACTTTAAGAAGTTATTAAGTTTAAATGAGGGCATAACAGTGATACCCTAATCTAAAGCACAATTTTTCCTTGCACAATTTGTACAAATATTGTTCAGTCAGTCACCTTAAGGAAGAGGAACTCAAGGAAAGGTCATGTCAAGCCACAGTAAGAAGGTGCTCTTTACATGCCATGAAGACATTCCTCACCCAGCCTGAGTCTTACTGAAAGCCCGATCTTAAATTTATAGACTTCAGACTGTGAGAAAATAACTTTTTGTTGTTTAAGCCACCCAATGATACCTTGTTATGTCAACCCAAAGTGACGAATGCAAACACTGTCCCCATTTTGTGGATTAGGAACCAAACACAAGACCGTTGGCCAAACTAACATTTGAACTTCTGGGTCTGACTAAGTGTGCTCTCTTTGGATTGTCCTCTACATTTTGAGCCAGAACATAACGAACACAGACAGCCTTAAAAAATCCCAAACCTTTGGGCCCTCCCTGGTGGTGCAGCGGGCTAAACAACAGCACTAAGAAGCTAAAGCCACTTCAGTATGAGTTCAATCCCCAAACCTGGAGGTGACCCACATGGCATAGCAGACCTCTACTGACCCACCTGCTACTTCCCTCAGCAGTGTATTTCATTGATCTGCCTGTTCTGCTCCCCACTCTGTCTCTGGTGAATCTTCTCACTGTCCCTGCACCTCTGGTCTGTACCCCAGTTCTGTGTGCATAAATAAATAAATCATAAACAAAAACAAAAATAAAAACTTCAACTGCTATTGTTTTTTTTTTTTTTTACAGTTTGTGTGTTGTAGGCTTAAGTGGATACACACAGTCATGTCAGTTTTCTCATTCCCACTCATTTTCAATTGATTCTTATGTTCTAGCAGATATCATTATTTGAGCTCTCAGAATTCCAAGTTAATGTTGAAATTACATCTAAAGTTCTATGATCACAATGTGGAAAAATCTAAGATTCCTTACTGCTGTATTTGCTTTTTATGAAACATATTACAAAATATCCAGTTTGTGTCTGAAACTAATTGGCAGTGTCCTAGTAAACCATATTAAAATTAACTTCTATTAATTGGATTAGAAATTCAGTGAGAATGACAGCTGCTAGTGCCTTTTACAGTTACTTTATTTCTCTATAATCCATATGGCAGAAATCACAAAACGCTTTTTTTCTCTGTTGAAATAAACATTTCAGATAAAAAGGTTTGACTCAGTGTGGTCAAAATATATGCATTTGGTCTATTTTCTTTTAAAAAAATATGCAATCTGACTATCCTTTTTTTCTCTTTCTCACAGGTTTTCACCAGCCATATTTTTATATCTGATTAGCATTGTTCCATCACTATGGCTTCTTGAAATGCACCATGAGACCCAGGTACTTCTTTTCAAAAAATACAAATATGAAATATTCAGTAATAAACAACTTTCATAATGTAATATGACTTGTGCCAGAGATGTACTTTCCTAATGAACTGGATTTTTATAAAATAAAAGAATATCAGTGAAAGAAAGTCAATCCATGATCTGTTAAAACCAATAAAAATGATACATTCATTTAAGATTTAAAATTACATAATTAACCAGTAATTTGTGTGAGAGACTCATTCCTAAGACCCTACTATCAAAATCTGCTAGAGTTTATATGGAATCATAAAAAGTTGGTTTTAATCTTCATGGTCTCAATGAGTTTCTGCATTGTACTAAGATTAGTCAGGGCATAATCATCTAGCATCCTGTAAAAGTCATATTTTTAGGAAGAAAAAAACAATGAAGATACTCCCTCCTCTGTACTCTGATATGTAAACACAAGTAAACTTTAGTGGGATTATTTGAAGTAGTCCGTTGTAAAATACTGAATATGCAGACTTTAGAAGTTCCACTTTTGAGGATCCCATGAACTGTTTTAGTGAAATAAGAATTACACTTTAGAGCCCCCGTGAAGTACTAAGGAGTCATGGGACCCCCACAAAAGGTATGATAGGTTACATATATTAAAGTATTACCTAGAAAACAAATAGTGGTTTCCAATAGAGTTCTTTGTCTAGGGAAAGATACTAATTTTTAAGTGAGTTGTTTCTTACATGGGCAACCCAAGGAACAGGCTCTAGGGTAGACTCATTATTTATTATTACTAAGTGGGGAAGCCAATTAATAAAGTTCACCACATTCTATTCTGGACTTAACATCATTAGGGTTTAGGCTATAACTTCATTGATCAAAAAATGCTTTAGGCAAGATTTGTGAGAATTTGTCTACACAGATGTGTTTGCTACAGTTGGTCATTTTATAGCAAGGTTAAGCCTCCTGTAGATATTTCAGATATTTGAGACTTATCTGCAAAATTCTTGCTTCAAATTTCGGCACATGGAGGGGAATTTGGAGCTTTATATTATTTTTGAATAATTACACAGCACATACTAATAATGTAGGCATGAAGAAAATATTTGTCCTTAAATCTCCAAAAATCTTTAAAAATATTAAAGTTGGGCCCTCCCTGGTTGTGCAGTGGGTTAAGGCACAGCACTAAGAAGCTAAAGGCCACTTCAGCATGGCTTTACCATCCCCACCCCAGAGGTGGTCCACATGGCGCTGCAGACCTCTCCTCCCCTCTGTGCCCCCCTCAGCAGTGTACTTCATTGACCTGTTCTGCTCCCCACTTTGTCTCTGGTGAATCCTCTCATCGCCCCTGTACCTCTGACCTATACCCCAGCTCTGTATGCTTAAATAAATAAATCTTCTAAAAATAGTAAAGTTACAGGCTATCTCTATGAGATATATATATATATATATATATATATATATACACACACACACACACACACACACACACATATGTGTGTGTGTGTGTGTGTGTATCACGTCCTAGCAATCTGCTGAAAGATTGGTTAGTTCAAGTTACAGCTTTTAAAAACTGTACCATAAAGAATTTGGAAACAGTTTCAATTTCCTTCCTACTTACTAATTTCAAGGGCATGGCAATAAGCTCTGGTAATTCAAATTATTTTTTCCCCTTCACATCAAATTCTATGACATGGCTATCATCCACAGTAACAATTCATTTCCCCAAAAGCTTTTATAATATAAATGCATTGCACACTTAATTGATATACAGGTCAAGTCCCATTATAAAAGTAGCATGTAACCAAACATTCTCTTTTTAATAAAAAAAGATTTTTGAGCCCTGGGCAGTACCTTTCTAATTTTCATACTACAAAAGAAATTGGACCTTTAGTCATAATGGATTTGACTCACTTTGACACTGAGAATTAAAATGAATGCCCAGTATTGAATTGGACAGGGTGGCCAGAAATGGAAGTAGAAAAATAGGAGAGAGACAAAGTATTGGAATTACACTTAAGTAAATAAGAAATGGCAGAAAAAAAGAAGGTTTGGTCATTTTCAAAGTCTCATCATTTAAGAAATGTTGGTCATGATAATCATCACTTTTTTTTTTTTCAAAGAATTTCTTGATCTCAAAGCATTTTCTTGATTTCAAAGTCTTTTCCTCATGGGCCCAGCAACCTCATAAGTTAGCTGTTATATATTTATTTCTGTTTTTTAGACGAAGTTTCAGAAAGATTGAGTAATTTTTTCCTAAGGCCACAGAGGTAATCAACAGCTGTTCTGGAACTAGGATCCCAGATCTTGACCCATACTCCTGTAACGTGTTGCTTTTCTCCATTACATGTACAAGAATAGTTTGCATCAAAATAGTCTGAATTTTTCATGAGAGAAAAAAAATAATGTAATTTACTCTCACATTTTCCATTTACTCAACATTCTAAATGTCCTAACCTGTGACTTAACATTAGGAAAACATCTTGACCTACGTCATAAAGACATTTGTCCTAGATGATGTATTCTCTACCTCCATTCCTGAATCTGGCAGGTTCTACATGAATGGAAACAGAATAGTTATGACAAGGATTATGATCTTAACTCTTAGTGATCTATTTATGGAGTGGCACAGCTAAAGCAATGGAAATTTTGTGGTGTTCATGGTGTCACAGTCTGGTTTGACCCAAATTATTATTTGTTTTTAACCTAATGAGCATTTTTAAGATATAGCCCATGAAAAAGTGACTTGTTGGCATCCAGGTAATCTATATGAACTCATCTATAAAATGCTGAATGTAAACAATATTACTATTTTAAAAATACAAGTCAGGTTAGGTCATAGGAGTCAAATGAGTTACTTATTGCAGCTGCGACTTAAAGGAAAGTCTCATCAATTTATAACATCAGATTACAAGAATGGAGAGGAATTCAGGTCTTAATACTACATAATACGGAATACAAAGCAATTTGTTACCAAGTTATATTGAAGTACAGACAACTTTTATAATAACATGTCTATGGATTTTTAGAGATAAGTATATAAAAATCACATCAAGATCACTACTTTCTATGTACAATCTGCTTTTATGCCTACAAAGTGGTCAAATATGTTTCCTATTTGCCATTAGGTTCTTAGATTAACAAAACTTGCAGTGAGAATTTGTATCTTGGATCAGAGATTTGATTTCATATCTTCATTATCTTTTTTTTTTAATATTAACTATACAAAAACAAAGTGTACAAACAACTGCATTGTTGCTCTTAGTGATATGGCACATAGCCATTTTTCTTGTCATTTCACCCATAACACTAGTTGTTTTGAAGGACAGGAAAATTAGCTTCTTGACAGATGTTCTCCTCTACTTTTACAAGTAGTTCATACAATGATAAATGAAGTACCCAGCATAATTAAGGGGAAAAAATACACTTTTTACATCTTTATCATTAAAACAAATTTTCTCTCCAAATCCAAATGTGTGATCTTGGATGGGTGTTGTTGTTTGTGGTGATGGTGTTGTGAGTGGGTGTGCTTCAAATGCATGTTAGCACTACAGATGTTAAAAAAATCTCCAACCTTATCGATTTATTTTTACTCATTTATAAAATTCTTATTGGCTACCATTATATTTTCAAGTGTCGCTCCTTTTCTTTCAAATATTTTTTTCCCCTTCTTTTTCTCTATAACATATTCCCAGCATCTGGCTGAATAAAAATCATGCACACTTCACTTGCAGAAATTTATAGGCAAAAATGAAGAAACAAAAGGAGACAATGTTATTTATTTTAGTTATAGTTAAGAGTATTATAAATTGACCTAAAATACTACTTTACTGGATAAAAATGTTAACTGATTTTTGGTTGCCACAGTGCTTATTGGGAAAGATCGAACATAACTGAATTATTTACTTGAAGTAATATTTTAGATAAAGAGGCTCTGGGCAAGAAACACATCTTGATATGAATGATTTGAGCAGGATCACACATGTTTTAGTGCTGCCAATAATTACTGGTCTATTTTACAGTTGATTCAGGGTTGAGGAAAGGAATGCTGATTATCAATCCATAAATTCTTCATCTCACCACAATGAACTCAGAATGTCTACAGCCTCATAAAATTTGTGGAAAAAATAAGATATATAGCTGACTCTCTTCTCTTATTAGTAGAATATGGTTTTATATCTCAAGTGCATAACCTGATTTTTGGAAATATTTGTATATACAGTTTAAATTCCATTCATCTAGTGTCTTAGATACAATGAAGGCATCTAAAGTGTACTTATCATGGAATCTATTTTTTTCCCTTTAAAAAACATTCCTAGTATTGCAATAGCCAATCTGAAGAAATGTTACAGAATGTCAGCAGCAAAGCAGATTTCAATCAAACTCTGATGTCAAGTGAACAAACCAATGGAGCAGATGATCTCATTGAAACGGTAAGAGCTTTTTCCACTATATATAAAAGGATCTATCAAATCATTTTTTCTCTTGGTGAGGATAACATCTTCCATCCTTTTCAGCTCTTTCTTTCCTAAAGAGTTTTGCCAATTCTTTGTTTCACTCAGTAATTCAAAAAATAATCATATTTTTATATTTAGTAAACATTTAATATACATAGATATAGATACATAAGGCATCTATAGCTTATGAATATTAATAGATGTGCTTTGCAACATTAAAATGCCTTTAACACTTAAATTAGTCAAAATATGCACAGAGGGATATATATGCTTGTGAGGGATGGTATAAATGAAAGATTGGGAGCTGTCCTATTTACTTTTCAGGTGTTTATATAAATAAAAGTGGAATGCTTTCCAGCCAAAATAGAATCAGTTCTTTATTCTTCACATGCCTGAAATTTGGCAAATAATCATGATCTATTAGAAAATCATATAAGGGAGAGACATCAGGCCAAAGTGCCAACTACCAAACCATGGTTTCAGCAAAATAGGCTGTTGATTCTATCAGCATTGGCATGTCTAATCTGAAGTTCTAATGGGTGCCCCAGTGATATTTTGCTAATATCACTTTGAGAAAATCACTGGTTTTAAGTTTTTCATCTGATAGCTGTAAAAAATAATAGATACTCTGTTAATATTCTTCTTGTAAAAATTGAAATATGTGTGAAGTCTCATAGAAGAAATATAAGGTAGTGTTAAGTTTCATGCATGGTTTTAATCAGACTGCAACCTCCCTTGATTTTTGTTTTTTTAATCTTCCTTTGCACTTTTCATCAGCAAGTGATCAGAAAGGATAAATAGTTAAGTCACTCATATTTAGTTAGAATCACTATCCAATACTATGTCTTAGAATAATATGCTTTAAAATAAGGTTAGGTAACAAACATGATTTTAATTTTTTTCTCATTGGATATAGTAGTTTTTTAAAGAATATAAAATGAAAGAGAAGATTTATATCATGTTAAATTACTAGATAAGTAAATTCAGAGTTAAAATCTGTAGAAGAAAAATATAGAAAATTTTTGTGACTTTCCATGGAATTTTAAAATTTTTGCAATGTGTTATAATTTGTTATGGAATAAAATATAATGAGACGTGATCTATAAAACATTGTAAAATTGAGTTTTAAAATATCATCTAGTACAATCTAACTGGCAAATGGAAATTTTAAATTACTTCTAATTATAAGACTGCCCTATTTTAAGAACCATATTAAGTTTTTCTCAGATTGTTCAGCTAGTAGGAATTTTGCCTTCTTTAGTAGGTAAGGGAACATTTTCTGAATATGATCTTCCACAAAAGCTAATTTTTGATTAAAGCCATGGTAAAGAGGGCATTTCTTTTTATGGTGGTAGTTTGTAATTCTTCTGTCTGCCTGACATTTCTGTTAAACAGGCCAAAGTGTTTGTGAATAACTTATCTACAGTATGTGAAAAAGTTTGGACTCTGGGACTCCATCAAACATTCCTGCTAATGCTAATAATTGGAAGATGGCTTCTACCCATTGGAGGTGGGATCACTCGGGACCAACTCTCTCAACTTCTCCTTATGTTTGTGGGAACAGCTGCTGACATACTGGAATTCACAAGTGAGACCCTGGAAGAACAAAATGTGAGGTAAGAAGAACCTGTGATGTGAAGACCTTTTCAAGGTCAGATCCACACAGCTGTCTCTGCTCTATTATTTACATTCTGAATAAGTAAGAATTTTCAGCATATCATATCTGCAATAGTAGAATCATAGGATTTACTGCTGATCAAACAACATATCCGTTAAATCCAGATATATAAAGAGAGTTCTGGGGAAAAAAAAAAGCAAAAATAGTATTTTATGGGTGAGAAAGAAAAGTTCTGCACGTCTGAATTACCATAGGCTAGGTGGGACCACAGTAATTTGAAAACCTCCTGGAGGTAAAATGATGATCCCTAGTTTCCCTTTCCTATTCTCAACTGTCCAGGAATGTAACCAATAATGAGATTCTCTTCTAGAGCACACCACCGCTACAGTTCCCAGAAAGTACCTGGAGGAAACATGGAGAAATCACTCCACTCTCTAGTTGGGTGTGAATGGCAAGTGAGACAGATTAAGTTTTATTTTACTAAATTTTATTTTCAGTCAGTTTTGTTGTCCAAGTTAAGTGCCCAAAGCTTTCTGGTGTAGATGCCTATAAATTAAAACTTATTGAGTTGGTTCTTTTATTTTTGCCACAAGCAAATAAACTCAGAATCCATGATCACATCTGTTTATGGAACTACTTTCTTACCATTAGGGATTTAAGTCTCAGTGCCTGAATGTACTTTCAGCTTGGGTTGTTTTGCACTAAGCTATAAAAATAAATTGGAATGAGGCTGGCTTTTAATGCTACAGTTTACTTTATGCTGTGTTCCTTGAACAATGAAACATAAAGCTGAGCAAAATAAACTAGCTTAGTGAATAAACTTAATAGTCAAATTAAGGCACAAAGAATTTCTGTAACAATAGGTTACCTTTATATGATCATGTTGTTTCATTTATACTAATTTTTTATACCTTATTAAGCAGACATAGAATTTTAAAGAGAATCCCTTTCAACTTGATCTATTGTTCTCAAAATATTTGTTTTAGTTTTGTAGTATTAATATGCTGCATGTGATTGATCCCTTACAGACTTTCAGATACATTAGGACACAACATACTGTGTTACAAGAAAAAGAATTCATGACAGCACATAATATTAACAAAGGCACAGTGGTAGGAACATGATAATTTAAATACCATTAACTACATCTAGATAGAAAGCAGCACATACCTACTAAATATTGGGGGAGATGACAGAGACACAGGGTAAGAAATGGATATTCAGGAGGCGAATGTTTTGTAGGAATGGTAATAAAATTGCAAGACCTACCAAACCTGGCTATCTTAATCGTCAGTTGAGTAGACCCAACCACAAGTGACACCAAGGTGTACTTAATAATAGATCAATGTTTGCATATGAAATGTTAATAAATAAGATAAAAATTTCTCAGAAAAAAATTGAAAAATCATGAGATATTTATTCATTCACTAAGTAATGGCACATTAACTGGTATGTGCTAGGAAGCATGTGGGGAAAGATGGGGGATCAAATGGTGAGCTAGTGATGAGGGAAAAAACACACAGTTCTGCCCTAACCCAGGCAATTTCCATTCATCATTTTCTTCTGCTACCTACAAATTAATCTTAACCCTTTATAAATCTCTTTTTTTTTTAACTCTCATTTTGAATTTGATTCATGTCTCCATAATGTTGCTGAATGAACTGTGTCATGGTGTCATGGTTTTTGTTTTCAAATTTCTTTTCAGGCTTTGGTCTCAAATTGAAACACTTTTGTTTTTGATTAACTTAATTGTCTCAGTGACCTATGCTCTCAACTCTGCTCCCACATTTCTATTTCACTACTCAAATACTCCAAAATCAATATTGACAGAAAGACCTTAGAAATGTTCTTTCTTGAAAATCTGTCTCCCAATGTCTAATATCTGGCCTCAGGATCCATTCATACTTTTAAGCTTTGTCACTGCAATTGTCTGTCTCTTCAAACCAGGCATTAAAACTTCTCCCACGAGGGTGTAGTCTTCCCCACTGGCTTCAAAAGATAATCATCAAAATAAATATAATATACACTTAAAGGATGTTAATGAGTAGTAAGAAAGAGGGTTAATACATGAAAACCTACTGTGCATAACCTATTATTTTTGTTTTGGTTTATCTTGTCTTTTCATTTTTTTGAGGCCTTCCTGTTATGTTTTAAATTACATTTCCATTATCATATGTGCTACTTTTATTATTTTTTGTCTGAGGGAGGGTGAGATCTTTGTGTGACAGTTGTATAGGCTCTTTGTGTGACCCTCGAGTAATCGAGTAATCTGGTGCTGATGGCTTATGTTGATGCTCTCCTTCTCTCCCTGCTCCATATTGAGTTTAGTGTGTTGTCTAAATATTCATTGTTCTGTTGCTTTCTAACAAACCTTTTAACATTTGTTTGCCATGTGCAGTATGGTGTTAATGCATTTGTTTAGTTTTTGTTTTACACTGAGTTACCTCTTATTTCTGTCTTAACTGCTGATCTTGCTGGGTAGAGGATTCTGCACTGGAGGTCTTTTTCTTTAAGTATGTTAAATATCTCTTTCAAATCCCTTTGTGCTGTCTTGCTTATGCTGAAAGGTCTGCCGAACTTTGATGTCCTCATAAATTATTCTTTATTTTCTTGATATTTAAAATATTTTGTCCTGCTACTGATTCTCAACAGGTTATTATTATGTGCGTCTTGGTGCCCACAAATGTTATGTTTTCAAGTTCATTAATTTGCACAATTGTTTCTGTTTATGTTATTGAGGTACTTATACATACCTTTTTAAAATCAGCTACTGTATTTTTTAGTCTGTTGTTTCTAATTGTCACTGCCTCATATTTTTCTTACTCTCATTCCATTGTTTTATATCATTTTTTCTTTCTTTTTTTGTTCTATCAGTGTTGTCAAAACTGTTGCCCTGAATTTCCCTTCTGAAATGCTCCGCAACTCTGCTGAGTCAGAGCTCCTTCTGGGGGTTTTGTTTGTTTGTTTTTTTCCTCTGGCATTTATAATGTGTTCTGATAAGGATGGGTTTTCAATTACAGTGTGCAAACCTGGTTGGAGCTGTCAGGGGACTGGTGTGAGTAAGGGGCAGTAGTATGAAAAAGGACTGGGGCAGTGAATGCCAAAGGATCATCTTCATTAGGCTCAAGAATTTGAATTTCCTGCTATGCTGTGGGTTCCAGACTTATGTGTTAGGGATCCAGTGATGCTCCCTCCAGGTCAGCTTCTCAGCCTCGGTGTCTCTTATGGTCTTGTGTCCACATCCATGGTAGGCTACTTCTAAGTACGAGATGCAGCAGTGGGCATGAATTGCAGCTGATATATAGGGTCACAGGCTGAGAGTTGTTCTCTTTTCCTGTCCACTGCAGTCTTATCCTAGGGTATTACTCCCACTGTTGGTAGATACTGAAGTTTGTTCAAGTGTCCTTTGTGACAACTGTTAGGTATTTGGGATATCTCAGCCTCCTGCAGTGGCAGGTATTTCTTCAGATGTCTCAGTTTGACTTTCAGTTGCAACCTTTCCTACAGGGATGTCCAGGTCTCTCCAAGGGTGGAAGCTATTAGTTGAACTCTGGCAACCTAGTGTAAGAGCTCAAGCTTTACCACTGCTTTCTGCTGCTGCCTTGAAGATAAATTGCAAATAGGTATTTGGTAGAATTATTTCAGTAGTTCGGCATTATTAATAGTGACCATTTATTGAAAAATCTAGTTCACATCTGTTGCAAAATACTAAATTTTCTCAACAGTTTTTGTTTGGACTTTGAAAATTTTCATTATTAGAGAACATACTAACTCTAGAGGCATTCATTTAATTTTGACTTATTATTAGAAGGTACTATTATTAGAAGTTACTTAATAATACCTTCTACTACTAGACAGTATTATCCAAAATAATAATTTTGACTCATTATTAGAAGGTACTAAATTTTGATGAAATTTGGGTTTTTAAGATGCCACTAAAACCCTTTGAACTTGAATTGAACCTGTAACATCACAAGAAACCCTTTTCTTTTTCTTATGAAAACTCTGTAAGTATATGAAATAAACTTTAAAAGCACTCTTTTCTGGTTTTCTTTTTCTTGGACTATCCTCTATATAACATGACTGAGTTTTTATCACCCAAGTGATAAAAAGTTTTTGGACCAAAAATCTTTATAACTTTTCTTCCTAAAACATGAAGCACAACACATAATATCTCAAATATATTTCCAACATTATAGAATAGTGCCAAAACTTTCCATTTAATTCACAGAAATAATATAGTATAATGCTTTCTATCCCAAACACATAAAATTGCATTCTTGTGGTCAAATTTCTTTTTAAAGTATTGACCTTAGTTTCCTCACTGAGCAAACAGAGATAAAAATACACCTATTATGTTCAGTAGATATTAAATGTTAAACAGGAATCTGACAGGCACATAGAAGAACTGAGAAACTATGGGTAAAATATTTAAATTCTGGCCCTTATTGAAAGTATACTATATATAGACATCGGCATTACAAAGAAGGGAACATTACAGACTGCATTTCTGAGGCATTTCCATTTAAGATTCTTCTATACTTTATACTTCTTATGAAGCAGTCTGTGATTGTATTCGATTTTGGAAAATCATAAATCATGTCACACTGTAGACTCATAATTTGATAATAGTAAGGAAAAATCCTTGAGCTTATTTTTATGGCTGCTGCTGGGAAATGTTACTTATTTTGTCCTATTCTAGGTCATTTAGTTATATCCTGTCAAGATCTTTTGGGATCCTGATGGTTTCTTCCAGGGTTCTGGTTTTCCATCCAAGCTCCATGTCATATATGGCTTCCATCAATGTTGGCAGTTAAGTCACTGATGAAATACAGAGTAGGGCAGGATCAAAGCGAAGCCTGCAGCAAGCCCCTAGAGAACCCTTTGAGGAGTCATTTGCATAGGTAGGAATCCATTCAGCAGTACTCAAACCCAGAACATATCTTGATTTTTTTAGTAAGAGCACTATGTCAGGCTTAATACATTCAAATATTCATTAATTTGTAAATCATTACCTGCATGGAAATCCTGACTTCATCTTAAACAAAAGTTTAGTGTAATTGTTTTTGGGAAACTTAGCTGAGTTTAGTCAATACTGCCTTCAATAAGGAATCTCAGAAATCTTTAAAAATAATTACTTAAGTGATCTCACTAGGGATTATTAGTAAATGTGCCTTTGTAGTTTATGATGCATTTCTCTTTTATTTTAAATGTGAATACTTCATTTTTTCACTGCTAGCTTTATTTCCATTAACTGCCAAGACAGGTAATGATGGCCTAGAAATCTCATTTACAAATTCTTTCAGAGTCTTAAATCTAATTTTCAACACTCAACATTTAAAAACATCCCTTACAATCACCTCATTTGACTTGGTTTCAATTACTCTTCCCTGATGCTTTTCTCTCCATCTCCAATCTGTAAATACTTCTTTAGAGTGAAGTTGGCAACAAAATCTTTTATTATACTGCTAACTTCAAATTAATAACTTCCTTTGCATTTTTGCTATAAAAGTGATTCTAATATTCCTTTAATGTACTTGCATTTTTGTGACCTCATCTCTTTTTGATTTTAGTCTTTTAAGACCATTCTCTTAGAATATGATGTCTATAGATTTGTCAAATATTCTTTTGTACATCAACATGTTTTCCGCAATATATGTTGAGTGTTCAGTATTTACCAGTTATTCTTCTAGTCACTAGCAATATAGTGCTAAATAAAATACATATTCTTTGCCTTACATCTAATTTTAAAATTAGTTTTACAATCTTAGAATAATTTCACATTTTCTTCTTGAAATCAGTCCTGAGTTTCTGGGTCATGTCTAATTTTTCTCTTCCATAATGCTTCTTTAATTTTGAAAAATAAAGAAGACACTATGGAATTCACAGGCTTTGCCATGAATCACACATATGATGATACACTTTAAAGTTGGCTTTGAAGCCTTGGATGTTGTGTTTTTTAATTGTTTTCCATTATTCCATTTTAATCATGCATACATTATTTATTGATTTCTTAGATCACAAAGATACATTAGCAATTCTTAGTGGTTTTTAGATTATAATCAAGTATAAGGGAAAGAGTTAAAGAATTTTCTTTTCTGAATGTAATACAATATTTATTACTAATTTAAAGCTTAATCTGCGTTCTAGGAATAGTTCTGTCTTAGTCTACGCCATCCTTGTCATATGGACCTGGAGTATGCTGCAGTTCCCACTGGACCTGGCAGGTGGGCATGCTGAGATTTGCTTAAAGAAATAGAAGCTGTCTTAACTTGCGACTGTAGACTGTAGTAAACCTAAGGAGGTCTTTGAGAAGTTTATTATTATTTTTAAAGGTTTATTTTATTTATACATACAGAACTGGGGTACATGTCAGACACGAAGGGGTGGTGAGAGGCCTCACTAGAGACAGAGTGAGGAGCAGAATAGGCAGATTGACAAGTACATTGCTGAGGGGAGTAGCTGGTAAGTCAGAAGAGGTCTGCCGTGCCATGTGGGTCACCTCTGGGGCCAGGGATCAAACTTGCACTGAAGTGGCAGTGGCTAGCTTGCAGTGCTGTGTCCTAACCCGCTGCACCACCAGGGACGGCCGAGCAGTTTATTATTTTTTAAGGTTTTGAGATCTATGAGCTCCAATTCAGCTTAGATGATAAGTGAACTGAAACTGTGGAAAGCTACAAGTAGGTCTAGTGTGGACCACAGTGGGCCTGAGATTAGTGGGTGAATAAGATTTTACAGTTTTGCATTCACTTCAGATAGTGGTCTATCACTTAATGATGTGTAAAATCTTCTGCAGATTATTTACTACATTCTGTACCTCAGTTTTTCATTCATGAAATGGGATCAATAATCATAGTTACTAGAAGGGGAGAATTCTTGTGATTAGATAAGATATTGTTTGTGAAGGGCTTAACATATTGTTTCCAGGCATGTAAATGTTATCTTTTCATATTTTTGAAGAGGTCATTTTCAGTCCTTTGTCAGACTTATGAATTAAAAATATCGGAGAGAGTAAGAATAGCTTCAGGCTACATGGAAAACTGAAATTTTCCTTAGAAGTGGTCATTGGCATCCTCTTGGTCTTTCTTTTAAAAAGACATAAACTTTAACAGGTTGCACAGAGCAAATTGTTTCCAGGCCTTTCGTACTAACCACATGTGGCTATATAACGTTAAATTAAATTTAAAAAAATTCAGTTCCTCAGTCACACTATCCACATTTTAAATGTTCAATTGCCACATGTGGCTGCTGGATTATATAGCATAGATACAGAATGTTTTGCCATCTCATAATTTCAAGAAACACTGTATTCTTGATTTGAACATTCTCCTGAATGCCACTGTAAAGAAGTTCTAAGACTTAATAGTTTTCATTTCCTTAAATCCGACTTTGGTCTGTGATACTATATCTATTGGCCTCAAGATTAGAATTAATCATTGGACAGATATTGAGTCTTTTTTCACTTATTTTAAGAGGCTCAGAGATTCAAAGCTATTTGTCACTTTAGCAACTACTTTCTGAAACAAAAGTGTCATCAGAATAAATGGAGAGACTCTAACTTTTTGGAAATACCAAAACCTAATTACTAGCTAATAATGTGTGCTTATGAAATACACACACACCCATACCCCTCATAATTTGGCATAGTAGGTCCTTTATACAAAGTGCTCAATTAATGTCCTGTGATAGAATTCTAGGTACCATATTTTAGATGTTGAGTAAGTCAAAGGAGTTCTTCTGGGAATCATTCCTGACCCTAAATTCTTAGAAAATGTTATTATTGATTCTGTACTAGATTATTTATTTATTTATTTATTGCCATTTATACTGTTGATCCTTACCCTCCTGTATCATACCCTGTGGTTTATAGGCTTGCTAAGAAAAATTTTATTTAAGAAAGAAGTTTTGTAAACTTTTAGGGGTGATAATGTTATACAGCTGTTTGCAAAACAAAGACCAAATGTTACTTCTGACTAAATCACTATTGTATTTTCCAACAAACAGAGCACTGTGTTCACTGTATCAAAGCAGCTTCATAATATTTGCAGGCTCCAGTAGATGAAGGCATTCTTTGTTTGAAAACTCCAAATGGAAGACTTCATTATTCTAAAAGGATTATTTTTTTTGCCCTTGACCTTGAATTAAATTTACATTTTAGAAATTAAAACAAAAAGGTTCATCTGTTGATTGGACTGCCTTTGTTCAACTGGAAAATCAGTAATTATACTCAGTCCTTTTTGTAAACTGTGAGATGAAACCATAAGGAATTAGACAAAATAAAATTATCAATGGCATTTATTTGGGCTTTTTTCTCCTACCATTAGAAAAAAAAATGTGTTTAACAGAATTATGCTTGAATTTGAATACAAATACTTGCATTTTTACAACACAGTTTACACCTGTGGCTATGTCAATCCACCAGTAAATAGGTAGGCCCCTGAGTAGAAAGAGAAAGATCTGGGCCAAATGCTTAGCAGACAGGTAGACCTCATACTGCAAGTGAAATAGTGTACGAAAGAAAAAGAACCCACTGATGTTATTGTAGTGGAAAAAGAGTCAGTGAGGGGGGACCCCTATCCTCATATATATCACTTGCTACCACTTTCTAAAGTAGAAAACTAAGATCCAGCCAGGTTAAGTAATTTGGCTACCATCTCCCTGCCAGGACATTACTGAGCCAGAAGAGGTAGTCTGGCTTCCTGACTAGAAGCCTGGAACAACCAGCTATGCATTCTCTCTAGACTGTGCATCCTAAAGACAGGCATGATTTCCTTTATTCTCTGTAGCCTGGTTAATTTTCCTTTTCCCAAGTGTGGGAACTATAAGGTAAGCTGAATTGTTTTTACATGCCATGAAGAAGAGAGTAGGCTTTCTTCCCTTTTACTGGAATTATAACAGATGATCGATTTTAAATGGCAAATGATCAAAGCTGTTCAATGGCAGCAGGTTTCCCCTGTTCTACCCAAAATCAAATTACATATTAAATTAAGTCATTAACTATAACACCCGTTCTGGCTGACTTGTCCCCATTTCATTCCCTCTTATGTTTCTACACTTCAGAGGTACATTAACTGATCTGTCTCGTGTTTTCAGTACAGCATGTCGTGTGCCCCTCATCAGTGACATCAAGGAGCTTCCCCAGTCTGTTCTTTTGCCAATACGGTGCCGATCTATGGAACATCGGAATCAGCGTCTTCATACAAGACGGCCCTTTCCTTGTCGTGCGTCTGATATTGATGACTTATTTCAAAGTTATAAACCAGATGCTGGTGTTCTTTGCTGCAAAGAATTTCCTTGTGGTGGTGTTACAGCTCTACCGCTTAATAGTGCTGGCGCTGAATGTCCGTGCTTCCTTGCAAAGTCAACCGGAAGGCATGAAAGGGGGCAACGGTCCAGATCAACTAGCTGAGAGCAGGGTCCCTTCTGAGGCCTGGGAGGGTGGTTCTAAGGAAGGCTTGGACATTCCTTTGCAGGTCTCACCAGAGACCTCTGAGGACTCTCACTCCACACCTCAGTTATTTATAGACAACAACATGTGATGCAACTGGAGCATTTCATTTTCTGTTCTCCTTAAAGACAGAATCTTCCTCTCTCTTTTTAGCCTGTTTTATATAATAATTTTCAAAGGACCAACATAAAAATTGATCTTAAACCAAAGCCAAGGAAAACCTTTTTTTTTTTTTTTTCTTCAGGTGAATGGAAGGAACTTTGCTTAGTGACTGTAGCTAGAACTTCTGTGTGATGGTATCAGATGCTATAGTTGTTCAACGATGAAGTGATTTGTTTTTCTTGAACTGTTTAAAAAGCTATGGACAGGGTTACGGTGACATGCCCTCAAAAGATTTAGTGCAGACAAACTGTCGCGGCTGTTACCTGAAAATAGAGAAGCTTTGAACTTCGACTCCATTGTCAGAATATCTCTTCTGATCTTTTCTGCAATGTCCCTTTGACATTAAAAAAATAAATAAATAAATTGTACATTCAGTGAATGCAGAACAAATGAAGAGAAAAATGCCTTTAAAATTACCTCACTGTGGGCTGGAAGCAGTGAAAATCTCAGCCTAGCTTCCATAGCATTGACAGCCCTCTTCACTGCAGCACAGACTTCCCAGGAACATCATTTTTCTGGGCTGATGTAGTATTCTGTCATGGCCCACTTTTACAGAAATTTTATTGCTTTTGGCTCGGACGCTGCAGAATTCACAGCAAGCCACTTCGATTACATATCTACTGGTTGCGTGGCAGGAAATACTGGTAAAATGCTAGCAAAGTCACAATTTCCACGCTGAACATGGTTTGTGGGACTTGTCAGTATTTTTCTTAACTCTGTTTTACCGTTTTCTATATTACCAAGTCGAATTACGTGGACTGAGTCCAGGGAGCACTGAAATCGTGAATAAAGGTATTTCAGTTACCATAGTTTCTGATGCCTTTCTGCCAGGAGTAGCTGTAGTCTCCATGAACTGCCACTACTGAAGATGGTCTTTGCTCCTGGGAAGATGTTGGTTATAGAGATTCACATCGGCCTTACATGCACTCATTGTCCTTGATTAGTTGATAGAGTCAGAAGAGGCCGTAGATTTATGAACAAGAGGATCCCTTTTACTACTATAAAGTCAAACTTCATTTTCCCAGTATTAAAATAACCATTCTGCCCCTTTATAAACCTTTGTATTTTCTAGATGGAGGTGTTTCAGAACCTTTAAAAATGATTTTTGCTTTTTAACAGGTTGTATGAAAATCACCTGACTATGTAGCAGTAATGATGAAACAAACAGTTTAAAAATCTTATTTTAAGGTTCAAGGCATTCCTTCCTGTTGTTATGCTTAGGAATTCACAGGAAAATTAAAGACAAAGGGTATGACTTTAACTCCCATGTGACTTATGACAACCAGTTGGGACAACCTCATTTTTCTATAAATCTCTGTGCCACATGATATTTGCTTAAACATTTGATAGAAACATTCTGTTTTTATACAAACAAATGACGTCTTTGGTGCCATTCTCATGTTTCTTTGTTTTCTTCCCTGTGTTTTAACAATATGATGATTGCAAAATTATTCATGAAGCTAATGGAATAAGTTTCCAATTTCCCACAATCATTTTTGAAAGTTTAAATCAGGAAATTATATTTATATAAAGAACTTGACAACTTTTAAGGGCATGTTATTTAAAATGCTTAGCAATTGAAAGCAAAATAATAACTGCTATTTATAAAAATGTCTCAGCAGAATCTGTTTTTATGTTGACTGTTTTATGTTGAGTGTTTTCCTCCACAACATGTATGTGCTGCTTATTATTGCAGATTTGCTCATGGCATACTTTTCATATTTCAACTTTTTTCTTGCAGCAAAACAAACATTGGGCCTCTAAAAATAGATAAAGTATAAAGTAGTACGGCTGTAGCAAGGATATTTTTAAATACTTTCAAATCTGAGACTTGGCTTGGCTTCATGAATGAGTTTCTAGCATTTGAGTAAAGAATTTTGTAATTAGCACTCCTCCAAAAGCCTGGGAAGTGGAAAGCTCGTCCAGAGTCTAGCTTTACTGCATGTGCCAGGAAGGCAAAAAAGCATGAGGACCAAGTCAGCTATTAATGGTGGCAAAAATAGACACTGGCTCTGCAAGATTTTCCAGGAAAGTCTGCTAAGGGCAGCATTTGTTACCCTAACTGCCAGTACTTTCAGTCTCACTGACTGTTTTCATGGCGGGGGGGGGGGGGGGCCTGTATTCATTTAGTTTATTTAAAACTAAACCTAAGTCTGGGTTTTATCCTTAGGATCCTTGATGAAAAGTTTAAAATATATTTAATTTTTTGTTCTTATGTAGATTGCTAAGCATTGCAATGTTTGAAAACATCCAAGTGTTTGTCACAAAGTGGCTAGAACAGCAGTTACCACCCGTATGTTAACATCCTGGGACTTGCTTCCATCTGAGTTGTAATAACTGACTCAGCTCATTTGCATAATGCATTGCAGGCCACACCTCTCTACCATCCTCCACAGACTGAAGGCTCCAGCCCCCAGCCAGGAAGATAGTGACTGGCTGTTGCTGTTGTGATTGCTGTTGTTCTTCCTGTGACTGTTGTTATTGAACTGTTTGCTTAAAACTCAGTCAAATGTCCGTCCTAAAAATATTTCATTCCACTGGTAAGAAAGTACTGTAGACTGTGCGGATGCTGTGTAGAAACACACCTCATAACTATCTTAAGGGTTTTCTTTACTCTTACTGAATGAGTTTCGGAGGACATGATTGAACAGTGCAAGATGATTGTGTTAATATTTATTTAAAATGGAACTGAAAACATAGTGAATCAAAATTTGTACGGGCCCGTAACTTACTTTCTCAGTCTTCCATAGTGAAGTTTCTTACACAAGTTTATGGTAAGCTCTGTTGTGGCGTCATTAGTGTATAGCAGCCCTTCGAGCTTTGTAAGACCAGAAGGGTATGGCCAAAGATATCAGATTCACTATTGCACTACTGTAATATGAATTGTTGAATCGTTATTTATAGAAAATTTTCAAAGCCCTGGGAAGGCATGCATGGTAGTGCACATGCTTAGGGCTTCTACCTGGGTTACAGAGTTCAGCATGACTCTTATTATCTTTAGCCTTTAATCTCAATGACTTCATCAATGCTCCTGTTAAAAGACAGAAAAAAAATGGCAAAAATCTAACCTTTCTCTATATACACTTTGCTCCAGTGAGATGTTGAAACATTGCAGAAGCTCAGAGACATCAGTAAAAAAAAATAATCAAAGTCTTGAATTATCAGAAGAGACTGTTATTTTTGTTCTAATTTCAAACTTTGCTTTCTACCTACTGGACATTCTGATCTACTCTCCAAAACATCTGATGGGTTAAACTAGGCAGCTGGGGGATGTTTATAGCTTGGACGCTTCAAATAACTTTCCATGTGATGGGAGTAACTCTAAACAGTGTTTGAATAATCAACTGTTGTAATCTTATATTTTATGGTGTTCATCCTCTTTCTAATTAGAAGATTTTATAAAAATATTTTCTCAGAACTATTTATATTTATACTATTTTGCTATGAATGACCTTTGTATTTTACTAAGTACATTAAATAGTTTGTATACAACTTTATCTTAATGTCTATTTGTTTGCTTGCATTTTTGGTCTTAACTATAATTCATGTCATCGATTTTTAAGCTTTTCTTTAAAAAAAAAACTTGATCTATTTAAAATATGACTAAAGTGGCATTTCAAAACAGTGAGGAAAGATTGACCAATTTTATAAATGGTTGAAAAATTTTGCAGACCATCTGGAAAAAATAAAGATACATTTTTATCTCATGCAATATATAGAAATAAATTCCAGATGGATTAAAGATCTAAATGGAAAAGTGAAAAATATAAAATATTAGAAGAAAGCATGGAATGATATCTAGAGAAATCATGTCTTTAGCAATTGGTACAAGGAAGTACCTCCCAAAGAAAGAAATGATAAACTTTTCTATGTAAGGATTTACAATATCTGCATGGAACAAGATATCATGAATACATGACAATTATTTTCTTTTCTGGAAAAAGATGTGAATACACTCAGACAAGAGGAGAGAAAGTCATAGAAATGAGAAAGGGAGATACAAAACTATCATTTATTTGTGGAAGACTGAGTCTTGAATATCTAAGAAAACACAAAAAACCTATAGAAGCATCTGAAATCAGTCAAAATTGTTATAAACAAACATCACATAGAATATACACTTGAAGAAATTTCCTCTATAGTATAAACTAGAACCACAAAATATATAGAAATAAGTTTAATAAGAAATGTGCAAAATGTACGTGAAGAAAACTTCAAAATTATTTTGTGGATCATCAATGAAAAATTTAACTAAGAGATATGTTTAGTGAGGGAGTGATAAGAAATGCTGGCATTTTTAAAAGGTATCACTTTTTTTCTAAATTGATCTATAAATTTAAAAATCTACCGATAGAAAATTTTGATTTTTGGTGACACACAAGTTGCTTTTAAAGATTTCATTATAAAATGAGCATGACAATACTAAAAGGAAAAAGAAAAATGAGAACACTTTCAACATATTTAATGCATTATAGAACCATAATTATCAAGAAAAAATTTGATTTTGTCAGGCAGATAAAATGGAACAGAATAAGAGCAATAAATAGACTAAACTATATAAGGGTTTTGAATTATTACAGATTATGGGAGGGTGGAAGATAGAATATTGTAAGTGGTTTTGGGTTTGGAAAAGTAATATTAAACTGAATTTGCACTTCATTCCCTATGTCTAAGGCATTTTCAAAGTGGTCCAATAGTCACAACATTCAAAACAAAACAAAATCAGAATTTTGCTTTTATAATTGCAATGGTAAAGAATGTTTTTTAAAGAGAAATCAAAAGATTCATAAATTACAGCTTGTAAAATAAAAAAAAAATAAACTGTAGCAGAAAATGAAATAAGTCAGAAATGAAAGTAAGATACAGGATGGTTTCATTTATCTGTGGAATGGAAATAACCAAAGAAAACAAAATGGCAAACCTCAGCAATTATAATTCCTAGACTCTGTATAAAATATACTGGTTACCAGAGGGAAAGGGGGGAGGGAGAAGAGAAAGAAGAGAAAATGAGGACAGGACATTGGTATAGAGAACACCATGTGCACATATGGCATTTTGTGAATATATCACCAAAATGTAATTTACGTAGTGATAGAGTTATGGAAATGACTGACACATTAATAAAATTTGAGGGAAAAAATGAGACACTTTATATATAAAAAAGTGCATGCTAAAACTACTATAAGCAAATTGAAAAATTGAATAACTACTGGGTAAATATTTTTGTAACAAATGTTACAAAGCTTTGGTTTTCTTAATGAGCAAACTGCTCTTAGAAATAAGAAAATAAATACACACCCCCTGGAAAAAATGAGCAAAAGGTATGTGCATGATTTGCTGCAAAAGAAATAGTTAAATGCAAATCAAACCACAATTAAATACCACTTGTCAAATGCAGACTAAACCACAAAGTACTATTTTTCAATTATCAGGTTGGCACATATTCAAAATTTGAGACTGCTGTATTAGAGGGGATTGCAGGAAATGGATATCCCTATACATTGCTAGTGTGTAAAGTGCTACAACTAATTTGAAAGCAACTTGGCAGTATCAGTCTGCATTAAAAAGACATTCACTATCTGACCCAGCAACTCAACTTTGTAGAAGGTACTCTACAAATAGATGTGTACAAAAAAGTAAGTATAAGAAGTATAAGGCCATTTTCATAGGGGTAACAAGATAGTATTCATCAGTAGGGTCATTATGAAATTATGGACAAGTTATGGTATATAATAGGATGTGGCTTTTTTTAATAAAAAATATATATTTATTTGTGCATACAGATCTGGGGTACAGGCCAGAGTAGCAGGGGCAGTAAGAGGATTCACCAGAGACAGAGTGGGGAACAGAACAGGCAGATCAATGAAGTACACTGCTGAGGGGAGCAGCAGGTGGGTCAGGAGAGGTCTGCAGCGCCATGTGGATCACCCCAGGGGCAGGCGGGGATCGAACTCATGCTGAAGTGGCTTTAGCTTCTTAGTGCTGTGCTTTAACCGCCTGTGTCACCAGGGAGGGCCCATAACATGTAGCATTTACAAAAAAATAAAATTAACCCATGTAGCTGACAAGGAACTGTAGAGGGTCGTTCCTTTCAGGTTCTGTGCCCCTCTCTAGAAAGGGTGGAACTGAACAAGGAGGGGAAGCTAAAGAAGACGTGGCTGTGGACAAGTAGGGAGAGATGGGCAGCAAGAAAGAGACCTGGAGGAGGCCTGAGGAGCAAAGAGATCTGAGTATGCTGTGCTTGCTTCTCAGCCTTGGACTTGTACCAGGACTTAGGGGACATGAAAAAAAAAAAAAAAATGAAACAGATGTGAGTGGGGAGGTTAACATTGCCAGTGTTCATCGCATTTCGATTTTGCTCTTTTCTTTCCAAATGTGTCTGGCCCCTTCTGCCCCTTTCCTATGGGTCCCTACCGGAAGGTACCTTAGACCTGTGGCAGGCTTTTGGGCCTCAGCAGTCTTTCTTTGGGCCAACCCTGTTTAGCTGGATATTTATCCACTAAGGGATGGGTAACTTTGGGTGTTTTTGTAAAAACGATTCCCTCTTCTCTTTATTGCACACTAAGTGTATTAAAGTGCCTTTCCATTAACATTCTTATGCACTAGAGTATATTTTGTCTTGAGGTGGCAGATGTCAGAACCTATTTAAAGCAGGAAGATTTAGGGGTTCTGGGTTGCCCATCAACACTGCTCAGTATCAGATTAATCATTTAGAAATTGTGTTGGGTAAAAATAAGGGAGTGAATCATGGAATTCATATGTCACTCTTCTGGGAAATGTTACCCATAACCTGATGGGTGGCCAGTGAACATGAACTCATGTTTCCAATGATCAGGACCATTCCCACTTGTTATTCTTCCTTAATACTTTTTTATAGTTTGGAAGTTTTAAGTATGTATTATTTTTGTTACTTTAAACACAACTATAACAACAAAGCACCAGCTTCCAAAGTCTGTTCTCCTTCACAGATAATCAGATATCATTTGGCAAATAAAGCCACAGTAGTTATTTCCACCCAAGAAAATAAAGATTTTGAAACTAAGGATGACCTTTGAAAAAATTAGATAAATTTCACTTTAAACTATCTCAAATTCTTCTTGGGAATG